CTGGGGGTGAGAAGGAAGGAGAACTATGGCAATAGTGTTCTTCAGGGGTCTGAGAAATCTGCTGCTACCATTGCTCTGTAACCCATAGCCCTGGACGGTTGTTGGGGCCTCAAGAGGCGAAGGCACTTTAGCCCAGGACGGCCTATTTCTGAAGCCCAGATAATACAAAACAATCCCAGCCCCCCCAAGCCGAGCAGCGAGTTCTCACAGGACAACTGCGGCTGCCGCCAGACTCCCTGTAATATTGCTGTGTGATGAACGGACAGACCCCTTCAAAGGCATACTTGGGAGACAGAGGCAAACTGGGAGTCAACCCACATTCCAACACTTGGAGAAGACAGCCATTTAGAAATGGGTGTTGAGAGCACTTAACACTTCATTCACTTCCTTATTCCAGGGGAGAATCCCAGCAGCCACGTTTGGAGATCAGGGAGAGCCTCATGGGGGAGGTGGCCTTGGGGAGTGCTTTGAAGGAAGCTAGGAGTCCTAAGAAGCACATGTAAGGAGGGCACCAGAAAGGCAGGAAGAGGATGAAGAAGTGAGAACGAGTGCCCTCCCCCGGGCACAGGCCAACGTCAATGTCACCAAGCAGTTATGGGGACCTACCAGGAGCCAGAAGTGAGACAGTACCTGCCCTCGAGGAGCTTACAGTCTAGCCAGGGGAGACAATGTGTGCATAGGTTGAGAGGCAAATCTCCCCAGCAGCTCAAGGGATTCGGAAAAGCTTCCTGCAGAGGGACGGAGCCAGGAGAGAGAGCCCAGTGTTGGAGGAAAGGGAGCCCTGGGAACTTCTGCATGAGAAGGAAGCGTGTGAAGACTGAGCTACTGTCTGAGGGCAGACACAGGAGGCTTCTCAGAACAACGCCAGCCCTGCCCTTGCCCTTCCTTCCCTTGTCCAGACCAGCATCTGATGCATTCCGCGGCTTCCCTGGCGAAAGCACAAGAGAAGCCCCTCTACAGCTTGACCTTTTATTGGTATTTTCCAGAGATGAATGACCAGTAGCCTGCCAGGGCATGGGGACTCTCCCGATTAGAATTCCACGGGGAGCCCCCTTGCTAAGTTGGGGTGAAGTGGGGGAATCTGATGAGCCCCGTCTGGAGTATGCCCCGAGGTCAGGAGAGGGGAAAGGCTTTACCCACAAACAAAGGCACCCAAGGAACCCTAGGCACCTCTGAACAAGGGGCCATTCCAGCTGCTCCACACTACATACAGCATGGGTACCCCAGCCTCTGAAACCAAGGGTTGTCTCAACGTCCAGGAAAGAAGACCTCTGCTCTGGGCTGTTCGCAGGTCATTAGACGGACTGCAGGAACCAGCATGAGGTGTGGAGTCAGAAGTCATGTTCAAAGGAGTTCAGACCACCATATCACACCACCCCCTGGGCAGATAGCCAGACTAGCACCTAGCTCATCCCTCACACCCAAACGAGGGACCCCCTCCTGGCCCGGCCTGGCTATAGAACCTCTATAAAGGAGGATGGACTGGTTCAGAGCGTACATGGGAAGGCCCTGCCTGGCCTAGAGCTGCCCTGCCTCCTCAGCCACCAGGTCACCCCAAAGTCTCAGCACACAGAAGGGGGAGGCAGGGTTGTGGTTTAGATGGAGCACTGGACCTAGAGTCAGAAGACCTGACTCAGATCCTCATGAGCTCTGTGGCCTTGGACGTCTCCCTGGAGACGACCCTCGATTTGTTGGCTCCTAAGGCCCTTACGGTTCTAAATCCATGATGATATATCTTGGGACAGCTGAGGTCCATGACAAAATCCTCATCAGGGATGGGGAACCTGCAGACTTGAAGCCACAGGTGTCCTTCGAGGTCCTCAAGTGTGACCCTCTGACTGAATCCAAACTTCACAGAACAAATCCCCTTCATAAAAGGGTTTGTTCTGTAAAACTCGAACTCTTGAGCTGCTGTTGGGCTAAGTATAGGAACTGGAGGAGGAGGGGGCTCTTTTGTGAAAGGGATTTGTTCTGTGAAGTTTGGATTCAATCAAAGGGCTGCACTTGAGGACGTAGAAGGTCACAGGTTCCCCACCCCTGACTCAGATGGTCAGAATCCTAGCCGGCATCTCAGACACATGCTGCCCTATTAAAGGCAGAAGTGGGGCCAACCAGTGCCCACCATGCTTGGGCTATGGGGGTCCAGGCTAACTCGTACCCTGATCCCCAAAGCAAGGCCAAAGAATGTTAGGTTCCCCTGGGCTCCTGATGGGAAAATGTGTGTAGTCAAACAAACGCCGTGGCCTCGAGTCTCTCTCTACCTTGGAAACAGATAACAAACACAGGCTGTCCCCAAGACACAGGGCTCATAAAAGTTCATTTGTTAGTCAGTTCCTGGCACTTAGAATGCACTTTTCCATTGAAATGTTATACTTGGTGGCTGGGTTTCCAAGCCAGGCCTCAAAAGCCCATTTGGCCCATAATGTGGTTGAACTATTCTATTATACTATTATTACAATGAACCCCAAATACCATTGAGAATATTGCATCTAAAGGGAAAATGTATCCTGAGCTTTATGGCTAAGAGCCCATCCCCCACCCCAGAAGTCCCAGAAATGGGACCAGGGAACCCCCTCCTCCTCCAATTCCTACACTGAGCCCAACAGCAGGGGCCACATTCCTCTGGCTCCAGAGGCAGCAGAAAGGGGTATCACCGAGGATCTAAGGAAGGGGGCTCAAGCCTCCCCAACTGCTAATCTAATGGGATGCCCTTGCCGGGGTAGTCACTCCTACATGAGGAGTATGGGGACGTCATGATTTCCGAATCAGAGACTGCCCAATCTCAGAGTAAAAGAAAAACAAATCATATTTATGGCCTATGCCAACCCAATTAAACACAACATCGGACCCATAAACCTTGGATCATAACCTAAGTATGCATTTACTAGACAGGTAAAAGATGCCTAAAGACAGGGGAGGAAATCATTCAGAATAATGGGGAACCCATACTCAAATATATGTATGTATGTACACAAATAAAATTTACCGAATTGTAAAGACAATTTTAAATCATTTTGTTGTTTCAAATTAGTGATGTTCCAAAGTTTTAATGTTTTTACAGTCCTTGATGTGTATATTGTATACATAGTATATAATATTGCATGTACTGTATATTGTACATAAAATTGTATACATATTGTATATAACACATATATATTTTGTGTTTATATATACGCATATGTGTGTATATATATTTTATGGTGTTGTGTGTGCATGTATAAATGTAAACATTAAAGAACTGTCAAACATCACTGAAGCCTTTGGAATATCCCTGCAATGCCAAATGATGGAATGGTTCAAAACTGTCTTTATGATGAAGAGTCTTCAGTATTTCACCAATTAAAGCCTGGAGAAGAGCTAGTGACCCTCCCAAGAGCCCAGGGAGGTGGGGCCTATTGCCAAGAGCCTTGCCTCCATTTCCTTCCCTACGACCAATCTAGATCTCTCATAGATGACTCAGGACATTTCTAGAGCACTTACTATGTACCCAGTGGCACAAGATGTTTCTGTCACTGCACCTGCTCAGGGACTGTCTCTTCTGTTACCTAAGTGCCCCCTCAGAGCCCGGGAGCCAGGGGCAGGGCGGCAGTCCTTCCATATCAGCTGCTTCTGACATGCAGGCAGAGCCACTGGAGCCCCCAGCCTGAAAGACCCCCCGAGCCCACTCTCTCTCCTCTGTAATTTTCACCGTTTCTCTTCCAGGGTGAGTCCCCAACCATGGGGTCCTACCTGGGGCTCCCAGGTCAGATGGCCTATACCCGGCTCTTCCAGGGTCCCCTGAGACACTGCTGCCCCGGGCAGGGGCCGGGCCTGCCTCAAGTTTCTGCCAAAGGCTTTCAGAGGCCCTTTCCTTTCCTGCCCAAAGCCCTCTGGGCTCCTGTCTTTCTTGTCCTCCCTCCCCTGCAGCCATGAGGCTGCTCCCGTGACCACTGTTTCTGGGGAAATGCTTACTGTATTTTATGTTATAAACAGGTTAGTTCCCTATGGCCCTGGAGTTACTCAGCTGTGTGCACCTCTTAAGCCAGGTTTACCTCGACTAGACCAATACCCCAAAGAGATCAATGAAACAGCAAAGGACCCTCTGCACAAAGCTTCTGGAGCAACTCTGAGGGGCCCAGTCCTGGAAAGCAAGAGTCATCCTGCTAACCAAAGGAAGGTCTAAGACAGTAGCAGAATACAGCTGAGCCACAAGAAGTGCAGACGTGGCCAGTTTCAGCCCAAACTGGGAAAACCTCTCAGACACGAATGCAGAGACCAGGGAGCAGATCTAGGAAAACATTTATACAATGACATCCAGCCAGCAGAAGAACCATCTGGGGAGCCCAGCACACCAGACAACAGGCCCCCAGGCCTCAAGAGAAGACGTCCCACTCACTGCCACTCACCTAACGGGGAGGAACCTAAAGTACCCAGAGACAATGTGGGAATTGGCCTCGCTGGACGAGGCACATCTATGGTGAAGCTTTTGTTGTGTTCTCTTTTCTGGGTTGGTTGTTTTTCATTTGTGTTTAATGGAGAGGGAGAGTGGGAGGGAAAGATTACAAATATATGTAAAAACAAATAAATAAATGTCCTTTAAAAACACAGGTTCATTTTATGGGAGCTACTGCTTGCCACTGGGCAAGAACAGAGGGAGCCAACGACCTGGTGTGCATGGCACGGGCGGCCTCTGCCAGCCCACAGTGGCTCCAGCCCGGCCAAGCCAGGGGCTCTGGGTATGGAGAATTCCCCTCATCTCTAAGGCAAGAACGTGACCAATAGATCGTGAACGTGGACTTAAGACGGACAACGGGGCCAAGGAAAGAACTGTAAACTGTTTTGGCTGTGCTGGGTCTGGCTCCAGAAACATAACAAGAGAGCAAAATGGAGCAGGGATGTCTGAGGTGCACAGACAAGTCTGTGGGACCTTAAACCAGTGCTGAGACCAGGCGGCCAGGTTCCCCTTAGCTCTACTGGAAGAAGCCAAGATCCCAAAGGAAATTCTGGAAGAACAGACTTACAGTTCTTGATGTCACCCTGGAGTTGAAGGATTTGGGGAACAGGCATCGTGAGGATGATGATATCAAACAGCTCAGAGCCTCCCGCTTCCTTGTGGACTTCCCACTTGTCATCTTTAAGGTAGATTTCAGTTACACGGTGCCCATATGAGACTTCCACCCCTGAGATAAAAAGGAAACTGAGTTTAGATCTTCTGGGAGAGACAAAAGGACCGGCTCTGAGATCAGCTCTCAGTATGTGCTGCCATGTGACCCAAAATAGGGGGCATAGAGGGCACCTTGGTCCAGAAAGTTACAGGGATGGTGCATGGTGTCAAAGGACGGCAGGCACAGCAGGTATTCTCTTACTAAACTTGTTCACCCATGTTCCTTCCCCAATTCTGAAGAAAAGATACAGATGTACTTTCTTCCACATCATGGTGGTCACCAGATGCTAGATTCTAGAGATGGAAGACCCCCTTCAAGCCACGGAGTCCTGAGCCTCTGAAAGCCCACTCAGGGGAATCTAAGAAATCAAAGGATGCTTGACTTCCCAGAGGCAAGTGGAAAGAAATCATTATCTACACATCTTCAGCTTTTGTCAGCAAATTGCAGGCAGCTCTCCCTGTGGGACTCGAATTCCTTGATGCCTGGGGTGAACTAGCTATTCATCAGCCAATAAGCATTTAAGCATTGGCTGTGTGCCAGCCACGGTGCCAGGCTGGGAAGACAAAGATAAAAGTGAAACAGTTGGTACCTGCAAAGAGCTTACAGTGTTGGGGGAGAGAGCACGGGCACACATCAGGACACAGAAAATGAACACAGGGGCTTGATGAAGCCAGGGAGGGCACCAGTAGCTGGGCACCCAGGGTGGGGGCAAGAGATCATGGAGGGCTTCCAGGACAGGGGAGAACTTGAGCACGAGGGGAGGTGAGAGAGCATTTGAGGACTAGGGCCAAGGCTTGGAGATGGGAGATGGTGGGCTACGTGTGAGGACGAGCACAAAGGCCACTCAGGTTAACTCTCAGAGCGTGTAAAGAAAAGATCGCTTCCCTCCTCCACAAACAAACGCGACTCTTGGTACAGAGAAGGGATTTCGTCTTTTTTTTCCTTGAATGAATGAAAATTGGTAAGAGATAATGAAACAGAAGCTGCTGGGCCTCAAATCTGACGAGCAGTTGCTACCTACTTAATTCATGTTCCCTCCTTTTCATTTTAACAGTAAATGATCTGTCAAGAAGGAGGGAGCAGCTAGGTGGTGCAAAGGATAGAGCGTCAGGCCTGGAGTCAGGAAGACTCATCTTCCTGAATTCAAATCTGGCCTCAGACACTTGCTAGTTGTTTGACCCTGCGCAAGTCACTTCACCCTGTTTGCCTCAGTTTCCTCATCTATAACATGAGCTGGAAGGAAATGGCAAACCACTCCAGTATCTCTGCCAAAAGAACCCCAAATAGGGTCATGAATGTCTGAAATGACCGAACAACATTTTTTAGGCAGTTGTTGAAGAAAATTTCCCAGAAGTAGCAAGATAAAAGGAGATACTACATAACAACAGAATTCACCATGAATCCTCAGAGAGAAATAGTCAACTTACCCAGAAACATTGTCATCAAACTACAAAGATTCAATGATTAAAAAGATTTTTTCAAACAACTAAAAAGAAAAATATCACTCATCAAGGTAATCCAATTCAAATCCCTTTGGATTAAGTACCCACCATGAGAAAACACAAAATTCTGGAGCATGATTTTGAGAAAAGTCAAGAGAAATCAGACTTTACCCCATCATCTTCTACCACCTCAACTACAAATAATATTTGAAGATTTAAGGTAAATGTTTTTTTAAATATTTTCAATTCCCCATAAAATTCCTAAGCATTTTGATATGAAAAAAGAAAAATACAAAGCAGTTTAAATGGAAATCAGTCCAGGAACAAACCTCAAGGTAGTTCCTAAACAGACCATGCTAATGGGGATTTTCAATAAGCCTACCGTTGGTAGCTGTCCACTAACACTACCTTTAAAACTTTAAACCCCTAAGTCATCAGAAATGGATTCCATGTCACTATGACACAAGGCTTGCAAAACAGAGATCATCTGGTCCAACCCTCTTGATTTACAGAGGAGGAAACTGAGGCGTCTGGAGGTGGCAAAGGTTGGGTCTGAGGCTAAGTCCCCCGCCTTCCAATCTGATTCATCTTTCCGCTGTACCAGGATCACGAGGTCACATGTTGCTGCCTGTCCATGGTGGCTTTATTCTCATTATGAAGTTGATTTCTCTTTCCCATTAGAAGGCCAACTCCTTAGGGGCAGGGGTCGTTTTGTTGACGTCTCTGGATCTTGGTGAGTAAGTGAATGGGCCCTTCACAGAGATGACAATACCGAGAAACGGAAACAAATCGCTCATCCTCTCTGTCCTCTGTGAACTTCTGTGGGCTGTCCAACGGAATGACCACCCACCACAAACTTCATGGAATAATGCTGATTTACTCAGTAATTAAGGGCCCAATCTCTTAAGGAAAAACCTGGAGCCCACCTAATTCTTTTTTTTAAAAACCTTTTATTTTTTCCAGTTACCTGTAAAAACAATTTTAAACATTCTCTTTTTTTGAGTTTTGAGTTCTAAATTCTATCCCTCCCTCCCTCCCGAGATGGTAAGGCACCCGAGACACCACCTGACTCTTTTAAATAATGTTTCACGATGGAAGAGATTCCTTGAGGTGCCACGAAGTTGCAATCCCCTTCTTTCACCACCATGCCTTCAATGAGAGAGGTGAGTGGCTTCAAAACACCTTGGGTTAGGAGCTCGTCGTAAAAACTGGAAGGAAGAAACAGAAAGGTCAGCCCGGGCACAGAGAGGCACAGAG